CAAACTCCTGTTAATGGTAGGAGAGTAATAAAATTAGTTACTCTGTAAAACTAATCCCAGTTTCAGAAACACCCCAAAGAAGAGTCAGCTTTGTGACATTTGCACATCTTACTTGAGTTTTCCTAGAAGTAGCCTTGCTCAGTTCGTGTCTGTGACATTGTCCCCTCCTTAGATACTGTTCATGTACTTAACATAGTAACCATTCCTGGTTTTGAATTATTAGTGCTTTAAAGGACAAAAAAACAGATCCCTATCTTCTGCTTCTTAAATGCCCACTTCTATTCCCAGTAAAGCCTGTGACAGAAAGCAGCCCCATGCCTCTTTTCAACTCTCGAGATAAGTGACCTAAAGTTGGATTGGACAGATGAATTTCTTTACAGATTTTCCATCCCCCCTATTTGCCTCTCAGCACTTTTCAGGCAACATAGATGAGTACAGAGAGGCAGGGAGTTACCAAGGTACTTTCTGTCATTATTTTCTTGCAACTGTTTTTTTCTGTAGCTCATTTTCACATGCTTAACTGTGATGTACCTCAGAGGTTTAGTCCAAATAAGAAGTTGTTGATCTTACTGTGAAAAGGAAAATGCTCCTTATAAAGTGATCAAGTGGCTTAAACTTCCTCCCCAGCTGTTCTGCTTCTTTGTAGCCAAATGAAGTATTTGTCTTAGAGGTGAAGTTTCTTTTGATCTGCTACTCCCTTAATTTGTGTGTGAAAGGAGGCCTTCAGGAGCTAGGCTGGTCAGCTGGCATCTTAATTACACGAAATGTCAGATGGATTACTTAGCTACAGTGACTTGTCAAAAAACTTACACAATTTTCCTCTGTTTAGGAAGTAGTGGGTATTCCAGAGTGTGGGACAAAGGGCGCTGCAGCAGAGAGAGTAGTGTTTTGCTAAAAGCTATGTTTTCAGAGACAGGAGGACATGGAACCTTTTTGTTTCAGTAATGATGGTGGAGACTGAACATCAGATCCTACTGTCCTTTTTACTCTCTAAATTCAAATAACAGTGTGGATTTCACTCCTCAGATAAACTCTGTTAACTTACTCAGTTCTGCACTGATCTTCAAGGAGTCACAGGCAAAAGCGAGTACTGCACTGTGGAAAAGAAAGATGAAGCAAATCATTTTAATGAGTGCCAGCCCTGCTCTTGTGCATTTGCCCCTACATAGTTTCTGTCAGAATAAATATAATCCAGCATGGAAATGTAGGAATTTTGCTTCATCTTCACTGAGAGACCGTTACAAAATTGAGCTCGGGCCTTTAGTAAACACTGTGTACTGACAATAAGTGTTGTGTTACATAGAGGCATTGAAAGTGTTTGTATTATGTCAAGAAAGGTGGTGCGTTAGAAAAACAATCAGTGAAAGTTTGAATTATTTGAATTGTGTAAAGGCCCAATTGTAGTAGAGTGTCTGACTGATTTGCAGTCCGGAGTACCTTGAACCTGAATGTCTTGGACTTTTAGGTCATTTAGAAGTGAACCCAAAGTTTTGGGTTGGGGGTTGCTTCCCTCTTTCTCCTCTGTTTCAGAAATTTATATCTCAAATGCCATCCATAGGAAGTATTTGCAGAAGAAATGAATTACTTAGAGAGGAACTGGGAGGAGGTTTCCTTCCTGAAATCAGAGCTGGCAATCTTTCTAAGTTATTTAACGGTCCCAGTTTCTGAAAACATATTGAAGGAAATATCTTAACAATGAGATAGCCACTTCGCCAAATACTAATTGGTATTGTGTCAAATTTACCTCAGTGGTACATTCTGACTTCATATCTCCTCCTCCCCTATTACCTCGTAGATGTGTGTGTTTGTTTGTTTGTTTGATTGATTCTGTCCTAGGGGTACAGGAGGACTGGCAGCCTCCGTCAGGACATAGTGTTCTTCTAGCTGCCTATTTGTTCAACCTCTGAATGTACCCTCTGAGACAGAAACCTGTACCATTTAAATCTGCTCAGAGAAATTTCTGGGGTTTTTTCAACTACTTTCTCATCTTACTCAGGTTATCCCAAAAGTATTTTGTAAATTCGCAGTGGTAAAGAAATCGCTTCCCATTGCCAGCACAACATAGCCAGCTCCAAAGGGGAACCTGGCATGTGTGTAACTGTGCGCAGTAACATGGCACAATAGTTTCAGACAGGAAATGAAGATGCAGGAATTTCAGGCAGTCAGGATATGAAAAACAAGGTGATACTCTGAAATAAACATTGAATTATAAACCAGGAATTCCTGCCTCTGACTCATGGGGCAAATCCTTTGGGGGTAAGTCCACAAAAGCAATTAGCCGCCTCAGTGCTGACGAACTAAACTATTAGGTTAGAGGCCACCATGTACTCTTAGCAGGTATTTGTTGGAGGAAGACTTGCTTTGGCAACTGATGTCAGGAAAGACTTGACAGTTGTGAATCCTCAGTGGACGGAATTCTTTCTGTCGTACAATGCAAAAACAATGAAGTTTGGGATCTCTCTCTGCCCTTTCCCGTTGGCTAGCGCAGAGGACTCCTCTGTCTGCATGCTGCCTTCCGTGGTTCTCAGGGCCAAGGAGCAGAGTCTTGTGGAATCACGCTGTCTGAGTTGAACGCTGCATTGCTCACTGTTGAGATACCCAAGTGCCTCTTAGGAAGGGGTTTTCGTTCTTGTGAGACTGAAGATGGGGGCCTAATTGTGGCAACTGGGTATCTACTAGTAAATAAGGGATCTGACTTTCGGATTCGTTGAGTGCCAGCAGTTCCTGTAAGAATCCAACTTTTATCAGTAAGAGCCCAGTTGCAGATGTTGGTGGTTAACAGTATTGCAGTCTAGCCTGTAATTGTTAGCCTAAATCTCCCACTGTCTTATTTCCTTTTTTATCTGATGAAGATAATACTAATATCTCCCCAGGGAACTGTATTTATTAGTTCATTGTACAGTGCTCTAAGGAATATGTTACTATATTTAAAGTTTTTGTATTGATCAAAAAGGACAGGAGAGGGCAGCAGGACATTTATATCTTTTTTTTCTTTTTTGGTTTTGTTGCCAACAGAGAATACAAGGGCATCCTGATGCTACTTAGAACAGTCATCTCGAACATCAGCTGGGAGAAGAAAACAAGCCAAGACGGAAGATGTTGCAAATGTTTCAAAAGCTCTGCAGCACTTATTTATGAGTTTGCCAGGCTCTTCTTTCCAAAGTTTATTTCCTCAGGG